CCTCCAACATACAATTAATTGAACAAGAAGCATTTGCAAGCGGGTGTAACCATTTCTTATCTTTAATTCATACTTAAACTTAGCATTTTGGATGTAAAGTTGCTGGTATCTTAAATAGCAAGGCAACGCTGTTAGCACCACATGTAATATTGGGAATGGTAAAAACTCATTAATACATCAACTCCTGTTATTCTGCCTGGTTTATAAATACACTCTACAAGTAGAAAATTTTTCACTGTAAATGTACTTACACTTCAATCTGAGCCATACAATTAAGAATACAAAAGGTACAACACAGTGAGAAAAACATCCAGAACTGCAGAAATAAAGGCTTGGTTTTAATACTTCCTCTATTGACAGATTCAGGTAGTAGAAAAGGAAAAGCTTAGTACTAAACTACATAAAACAGCCAGGGAAAAGTCAGAGAGCAAACTCAGCAGCATTGAACAACAGACAGTAAAGGCACAAGAATTTTCAGCTGAGTTTCAGTGAAGTTTTTACCAACAGTAAAGACTCCAAAAATTCAGGGTCCAACCTGGCTCATCTGAGGCACACCAAGAATTGCCCTCAGATGCAGTGACACATTTTGCATCAGCTGGTTTGCATGACAAGAAGAAGTACCAATAATAATGCTTTAAAAATTGAAACCACAGCTTATGCTGTCTCTGTAGCATAGCCATCTATACACTGTGAGTGATTTATAGGTTGGGTTTTTTCTGATTTACATAACAAACAACAGGAAATTTTGAAAGATAAAAATTAGACCTAAATATGAGCCCAGTTCACATGTTACTACACCACTTCACTTCATACAATTTAGAAATTAGACTCCCATCCCCTGGAGAAAGGGCTCATGCCGTACAACAACAGCATTAAAAGTATCAATCTGAAAGTCTGGAGCCCTGAAGACTGAGGAAAGTTCATGTATCAGCGTGGGAAGGATCCTCTCAGTGCAAGCAAGGATCTCTGTGCAGGAGAGCTGACGTCAGTGGAAGTGGGAGGGAAAAGGTGATGGGAAGTTTGTCGGGGAAATGATTGAGGACAGTTTCAGTGGGAACAGGGAGGATTCAAGAGAGGGTGGATGGCCTCAGTGGAAGCATGGACAGAAAGTGTGGGAGTATCAAAGGAAGGGAGGGCTCATGTGCTCCAAGGAAAAGGAATTACCAGACAGGGAGGAAAAGAGCAGACAGCTTAATGGACTAAATAACGTGCTGTTAATTGCTGAAATGAGATCCACTTCAGCACTGCAGGTGCCATATAGCATACAGCCTATGCAGGATTATGCAACGTGGGTTTGCAGTGACTGCAAAATTCACAGGCAATTTCAGGGTTTGAATGCAGAAAACTTACTGGCTGTAGGGGCATGGATTTAAACTGATCAGCTGATAAACCAAAAGACTATTTCACATTCAGTCCTTCTGACTTGGGAGTAATTTTAATTTCAAACAAATGAAGTATTAATTTACTCTCTGATCCCCTTGCACCCAAATGCACATATTTCTGTATTAAATGTACCAACAGGGAGAGTTCCTCAAGGAAAGAGGAAGGAAATCTTACATACGTAAAAGAATGACAGAGCAAAATCAAGGTGCTACAGAGTATATTAATGCGCTGGAGAAGAGCCACACACACACAGGATGTTGGGATAGCATAGGATTATGAATATCCCAGCCAATTCTAAATAAACATTCATGAATTCCTTATGCCTTTCAGCATTTACTCCACTTGTGTTATGGATTAAACAGTTATTATTTTAACGGTGTTTAGTAGGTTTCTATAAATCCAAGTACCTTTATCACAAATTCAACTGCAAAAATATCTGAAAATCATAACCAATATATATGAAAAGAGCTGTCACAATCTTGAGTCCACTTCCTTGAGATTTTTAGAGTTAAAACAAAAATCAGGGAAACTCTTCTTTGCAACAGTACTGGTTAAATCAAACCCTAGACCTTGCGTCCATGTCCTGCTCATCTTTGCCTAGTACAAGGTTTAATCTGCAGAGGCAATACATTGAAAATTAAGGGAAGAGTTTCCATGGCTGGTTCACTTTTTAAATATAGCACTTGATCCAAGATGCTCATAATCATCAAATAAAAGCCACATACAGAAATACAAAGTAAGGAGGGAAATACAGGTGCCATGACCTAAAAGAGGTCTTCCATTTCTAACATACTGTCACCATATTCATACACAACAGAAATAGATATTACAGCATTTACCTCTGCACACACCCACTTTCACAATTATTCTGCAAATTTGGGTGGATTAACGTAGGGTTCCCCACAGTAGAAAAGAACACGTCACTTTTTTAGCTACAGTTTATAAATTGATGCAAATCACAAAATACAATATGCTCACACCACCCATTCAGAAAATGACCCTCTGCTATTCAGCCAGGAGAAAGATACAAGAAGGCATGAACACAAAACCAGAGTAAGTCAGGGGCTAGTTAGCAATAGATATAATGCCATTTTACAACTCACAAGGGACTTTTTTTTCTTTTTGTTACATTTTCTGACTTGAAAAATGTGCACCATAGCTAGCAAACTGATTCAGTAATAGTAATATTAATAGTAAATATTACTGCACTATTAAAACTATACATGTTTTAGTGAACTTAACACTAATGCCAGCCAAAGTGAAAACGTGAAATTTACACACAGGCCAAGTCTTGTTCATAGCTCTAACACAGCATTCTATTGGCTTTAATTTGACAATATACAACAACTTAAAGCACTCTGAAACCAAGTGAAAGTGTCATTCAGGCAGGTTACTGGTGATTCACACAAATTCTGGGTGACACCACCAGTGCCCAAAGCACACCAGGTTTGTAGCATTTCGTGTTTGTATGAAGGAATCCCCAGGGCCATAAAGAGTGTACCACACACTCTGAGAAATAGCAATGGTTCTTAGGAGCACCCTAACTCTTACAGTTCTTCCTCAAGTCAAAAATCCTTTTAATTACAAAACAGCACAACATCCTGCCCGATGCTTCTTTTGCCTTCAGGAATTTCAAGCTCCTACACATTGTTTTCAGTTTGCTCACACTTTCTTTCTTTCTTTGCAAAGAACTTCGCTGGGCTGTGAGAACTGCTCTGCAGTGATGCCTCACTCCAGCACAATCTCTGAGACAGCACAGTTATCTAGCACTGCAAATCTGATCCTACCACACACGCTAATGATAAAAGCAGAGAAAGAAATACCACGCTGCCTGACAGCTCAAAAGACTATTACAGGATTTTGCACATGAAGATAATGTACACGTGATGTGTCCAACAGATTTTGTATTCAACTGATCACAAACAGAGCTCCATTTTCATTTCTCAGAACTTATCTTTCACAGAACTGTGCTAAGAGTGATGACAGGGGCAGAAAATGTGACTGAGTGATAAAAATCTGAGTGACTGTCAATGAGATGACAGCATGCATACAAGCCAACAGCAACCTGTAGTGTCTGGCTGAATTATCCAAACCTTGTTACAGGAATTTGTACAAAGTTCTTGAAGCTGAACAATAAAATTTAACTAACTTAAGACGGCTTCCCACACATGCTTCCGGAAACAGGTTTGAGGGATCTTCCCCCTTAAACAATCACACAAGACAAAATCACAGAACAAAAATTTTAAAAGACTGCTTTTGATTCAGGTTTTGCAACATTCAATTATAATCACTATTACAAATTCAGCTAGCAAAACAATTGTCAGGACTTAGATGACAACTTAAGCTTCCCCAGCGTGGCTGCTGTGTTAAACATGCCGTGAGCTCATCTATCGCGTGTGAACAGGGCCGTAAAGTTCATTTCCTGTGCAGGGTTGTTAACATAAAAATTTACTTTAGTACACCACCATTCAGCTTCATCTTCTTAGTTAAGTATTGTTAATTCCTCACTAGCTCACTACGCTCTAAGCGTTTTTATTTTTCAAGACTTTTTAAAATTATGAAACTTATTAAACTTATTAAAGATTACTATATCTGAAGGAAAACAATCAAAGAAAATCATCCACATAACTGAAGTAAATTATTCCAGGTCAATACTCTACAAGTTGTCTTAATAAGCAAGTAAAAACCCTAAGAAAACAACAAATCATTAGAGTTTCTGTTAGTCTGCAAAACACTTGACATTCAGCTAAATCTCACTTGCATCTCAAGACTGTATCTTATATTTACAGCATGTGTATCTCAGTTCTTATCACAGCAACCAGAACAGATATTATATAATATCCCCAGGGCTGCTACAATGTGATTTTTCTTACATTTGCAACTAATCATTTTTACAAAATAAAAAATAGTTTCCAAAAAAAAAAAAAAAGTAAATATATAATCCAAACCTATAACATTAGGAGCTAAAGTGCAACCCCTAAATAAACAGATAAAAAGCACACAGACAAACAAGCACTCCAAACCACTAACTGTCTCACTTCCAAGAAAATAATCAGAAATCGCTATTTTTTTCGCTATGTGTCAGTCAACTCCATACAGTCTTGTGTCGTACCTCTACTTTTGAGTAGCAAACACACGGAAAAAAACCCGCAAAAAAATACCCTATTTGCAGCAAAAGACAAGGTCAACAAGTTGCTAATGTAAATCAGTACCCAGAGCAGAACGCGCTGCCGCTCTCCCTTCCACTTTCCGAATGGAAGAGGCGTGCAGAGCGAGCGGCCCGGCTCGCAGGCGGCCCCGGAGCGCGCCGTGCCCGTGCCCGAGGGGACGGGCAGGGAGCGCCGCGGGGCTCCGCGCATCCCCCGCGCGGCCGCAGCCACCCCACGACACCCAACACCGCTCTCCTTGCCGCCGTTAGGAAAACTCATCTCGTGGAGTGAAGAAAGAGGCTTGGGTACCTCTACAGAGTCGCCAAGACGCTGATTAGTTTGTAAACGAAAGTAAAGCCCGAGCCAGGAAAAGCTCCCGCACCACGGCCGGGAGAGTGCTTGGGCTGAACCGCTACAGCCAGCGCCTGTGCTGAGAGAAACAGCGCTCGTGTTTAGCACCCTTTTTACCTTCACATTGGATCTGCCGGTCTGGGCCTCTGCCTCCATGCTCTGGCTGTTCTCCCTCTTGTCTTTCTTAGAGGAATTAGTCCTCGCCTCATAAGTGGATGTGTTGTAGCACTTAATGAATAATCCTGGGACGGGGTTGCCTTGCTGCTGTTGAGACATGGTTGTGTTGGTCTGGTGAGGGAAATTGTACTCCTCAGACTCATTGCTACTGTGACAGATCACTCTGCTGTCAGAGAGGTTGGTGCTTGGAACACAGCCCATGCTTTGTGGCCACCTGGGGAATACTTCTAAATTGTATATATATATACGTGTATATATATATATGTATATATATCTTTCCTTCCCGTTGATATTTTCCCCCTGCTTAATTTTTTTTTTGTTAACAGGTTGAATCTCTCTCCTGCGTCTCCGCTACACTCTGAAGCATTGCCATCGGTCCCTTCTACACCACCAGAAACGTGTCTGTTCTCCTCGTCCTCCAGGAAACAGGTCCTTTTAGCTCAATCTCAGCAGTGGGCTGGGGAGCTGGAGGGGAGGGAAGGGGGGAAATCAAGAACCGGTCGACTTCGTATTTTCACAGATTATTATTAATTTGTCTAAGCCATCTGAGAATCTTGGTAACGTTTTCCTTCCTCCTTGTAACAGCAGGGGAAAAAAAATAAGATGGAATAAAGAGGCAAAAACGACAAAAAAAAAAAAAAAAAAAAAAGAGGCAAAAATAACAAAAAAACCCCAAGCCCCAAACCACACACACCTCGGCGTCGGCTCGGCGCTCAGAGCGGCCGGGGGCACGGCACCATCTCCTCCCCTGAGCCCGGAGCGCGGCGCATTCTCCACCCGGGCTTGCTCCGCGTTACCGATTAACCCGGGACCGGGCCGGGGGCCGCTCCCCACCTCCGCGTCCGCGCTCCCGCCGAGCCGCGCTCGCTCCTCGCGGTCCCCTCGGCGCTGCGCTGTGCCGGGGGTGCGCTTTGGGGTGTGCTTTGGGGCCAAAAAAATAAAAATTAAAAAAAAAAATCAACGATTTATTAAAAAAGAACAGCGAAGAGCCAAAGGCGCCCGGGCGCCCCGGGGAGCCGGCTGCGCTCCTCACGCCGCGCTGGGCACGTCCCGCGCCGCCTCGGTCGCGGGCGGGCGGGCGGCCGCCGCGGGGGTGACATTCAGGTTGCCGTCGTCGGAAGGAAGGAAGAGCCCCCCGTCAGGCGGCAGCGGGGCTCTCCGGCCGCCGCAGCGGCATCCCGGCTCAGCGCCGCGGGGCAGGGGCGGGCCGGGCCGCGGGCAGCCCCCTCAGGGAACGGGGCACGGCCCGGAGGGCTTCCCTCAGCCGCGGGGGCAGCCGGCGCGGCGGGCGGACGCATCAAAGGGCCTCCATGATGCGGTTGATTTTTTGGGCGGAGAAGTGATGCGAAACGGCGAGCGGGGAAAAATCAAAAAATAAAAATGGGCAAGAAAAATTAAAAAGAGCGAGAAGTAGAAGGAGAACGATCCTAGCGTCCCATCCCGGCGGCAAGGGCTGCAGCGGCGAGAGCTCTGGTTCCCGGGGCCGTGGTGTCTGCATCCCTCAGCAGGGAAATGCCTGGCTCCCCGCAGCCGCCGTCCCTCGCGCCGCGCTCACCTTGTTATTATTGATGTTCCTCAGCGGCGGCCGCGGCCCCTGCGCCGCCCCGCCCGCCCCGCGCCGCCCGGCCCCGCCCGAGCCCGCGCGGGGCTCGCCCCGCAGCGCAGCGCGGCCCGCTCGGCGCTGGGGCAGCCCCGGGACAGCGCCTCAGGGAGCCGGCAAGCGGCTGCCCCCGAAGCACCTGGTGCCCCGCTTCAGAAACCGGACAGCGGGCTCGGTTGTTGCTCCCCATCGTTTTGCTTTTCGGCTCTGCCCATGTCAGTTTCTTTGAGAATGTTTTTGAAAGCAAAGCCTGTGAGAAGGGAAGATGGTGCTATGGGTGGAGCCAGGCCCCGGGGCTTGGGAAATCAACTGCAGGCAGAGTTTTCCTGGAATATAGATGTAAAATAAACCTTTTGTTTCTATGTCATATGAAAGTAACTATGCTTCCTTATCCTATAGATGAGCTGGGACACTAGATGTCTGGATGTACTTTGAGAGACAGCATGCTGTGTTTGAAGCCCCTCAGACACCATGCCCAGAGCAAAACAAGTCACTGCCATAGACAATTTGTGTTCCAGAAGCACCAGCTCAATGCAGCCCAGGTTCAGCGACAGACATACAACAGTGTGCTCTGCCAGAGACCACACACAACCCGATGGCATCTTCACGTGCCTTTTGCTTTTTTCACTGTCATTTGTAGCTTCTGCTACCTTTATTCTCAATGACTCACAGAGGTGCTTCTCCAAGGTCCTGCCTGTTTTCACTAGCTGAAGAACAGCTCAGAGGCAACAGCAATTTAGGGAAGGCCCAACCAAATTTTTGATTTAGGAACGTGGTGAAAACCAAATATCAGAGACATGACTTTTATCGCTAAGCTCCAGCATCTGAAGAGGGGAAAATGATGTGGTACAAGAGGAAACTGTTTGAACTACTCCTGCTTTGTGCCATGAACACTCCTGTGGTCCCCTGGCAGAATCATTGTGTTTCAGAAGAACCCAATTCAGCAGGAGCGCACTTGTGTGCATTCAGGACAGCCACACTTTTAACAAATGCCATCAGGTCATAATTAAAAGCAAAACATGCAGATAAGTGATGACTATGGACAACAAGAATGGCAAGAAGCAGCTTTTCATTCATATACGTAACAGCATCACTTGATCCAGATGAGAGCACCTTGTAAAGTTGAGAGATGCAAAGCCAAAAGTCAGTGCTTTTGAGAAATGTGGTTTTTCAGGATAACCACAGTACTTGCAATGCAGAAATGCTTTTATTTACTTCTCATAATTGCTAGCATTAAAGGCTGGAAAATCAAGTCTTTCCTTCCCCGATGTCTCTGCTACTGTGCAGTTTCAAGTATAAGCAATAGTCACATAAAATTCATCCACCCCATTAATTTAACTGATCTATAGGGCCTGTTAGAACCAGAAAAAGAAGTCAGCTTCCTGTGCCCTCTCATCACTTTGGACACCCACTCAACATAAGCATTTAACAATAAAAGAAGGGAAAGGCTTAACATACCCATTTGAATCAGTGGGCACTGTTTGGAGGTGGATCTCATCCTCATTCTTTCCTTTACATTAGACATTATTTACTAGATGCCATTAATAAGAACACACTTATATGCAGCTGGAAAAAGACTGTGGAAGAAGAAAATGCTACAATTCCTACTTGTGCTGTTCAGCATAAGTGCAGGCTCCCTTCCTCAGCCCTAATGATCTGTCAGCAAAACTGCTACTGCACTTTATTTCTGGTGGCACTGGAGGAGTCAGAGACAGCAAAACTTCATTTTCAGAGCTGCACATTCAGTTTGCAGTGCTGACACCTAGAGTTAAGCTTTCTACTTTGTAAAATAAATGAGTCTGGTTTGCAGGTACATAGAGATAAAATGTACAATTCATGGTATCATTTAAAAAAAATCAGTATTGGGTTGGGAAAAATCTCTGCTTTCCACTTTGAATGCAAACAAATTCCCACTCAACTAATACAAAAATTTAAGTATATAACAGGCAAATACTGGGAGGAGGGGAAAATGCTTTGTTTGATAAGAGCATGACAAAACAAGAAATTGTGCACGCAGTTATGATGTGCATGACTACTTTACTCTTAAAAAAAAGTTTTTCCACAACTGTCCATTGGCAGGTTAGTACTGATTATTTCAATGCTTTGTTTGATAAGAGCATGACAAAACAAGAAATTGTGCACGCAGTTATGATGTGCATGACTACTTTACTCTTTTTAAAAAGTTTTTCCACAACTGGCCATTGGCAGGATATTACTGATTATTTCTACAGCCTAACTTAAAAAAAAAAAAAAAGAAAAACCACAAACAAAAAAAACCCACAAAACACAACAAATCCATTTGCAAGATTTTCAGATGAGAACTCACATTGCCTTGAATGGGAGGATGAGATGAGAGTGAATAATCCCTTAGTAGTTGAAAAATCACTGGGGTTATTGTCACACTGATAAAAATTCAACTAAAGACAAAAAACTGCTCTTTGAACAATACACTGGCACTGGAATTGTCTTGTTTCTCTACAATTGGGAAACACTGGTGCTGGTTTTTATTGCCAATAGAAAAATACAGTTGAAAGTATAGATTTACCCAGAGCCTAGAACCAGAGAGAAGGGGTGAAAGCATCAAAATTGTTGGCAGTGGTAGTAATTTGTCACTGCACTGTATGAAGTGTGTGTGGATAAAGGGCCTTGTTCACACTTACTGCTGAAGTGCAGCTCAGGAAATGGTGGGCCTTGTTATGAAAAAAACCCAAAAAAATCATGCAAATAGCAGAGGAAGCCTAGGAGTGTAGACTCTGGCAGATTAGGGCTGTGGGGGAAGTGCAAGGTCAGTACAGAGTCAGTAAGGGAGAGGTCAGAAGTGAACTAGCTCTAGGAGACAGCTTGGAGAATGAGAAAGGTTATTTATGGATAATAAGGTTGAATTTCATTCAGGACTGCAGAATAAGAAAGAATGCTAGGAAAGAGCTTAGAATGATTGTTATCAGCTTCATCTGCAGACAAGTGGGTGCTGGGGAAGATCAAAGTATTTAGAGAACAAAACATAAGTGTCAAAATTTAAAAGGATTGAAAAGACACTATTCAGCCACATCCTCATCCTTCTCACAGAGAAATTACTTTGGATCCTGCATTTTTTTTACAAAAGACTAAACATACTGCCCCCCAGGTATACCCCACATATGCTGTCTCCCCCCACATCTCCACAAGCAAAATCCTGCTGTATCAGCAGTGTCCATCCATTTCACACAGACCTTGACCAGTTCCCACTGCACATTGTAGGCGTTCATACACGAGCACTGGGACTGTTCACTCCTGTCCAGTCACATAAAAATGCATGCAAAGAGCAAAAACTGGTTGCCAAAAATTCAATTCTGATAATACTTCAGTACCTGAGACATGGGCAGGCAGAATTATGCAGAATGATGGGCTAACATCTGCATGAACAGCAAATATCAGTGGCTACTTTGGAAAAGTGTCTGCCCAGCAAAGGCAGAGAGAGCATGTGAGCACAGGCAGCAATCTTGGTAAGAGATTACTCTATAGATGGGCTAACATCTGCATGAACAGCAAATATCAGTGGCTACTTTGGAAAAGTGTCTGTCCAGCAAAGGCAGAGAGAGCATGACTGCAGTCCTGCGAGCACAGGCAGCAATCTTGGTAGGAGATTACTCTATGTGGTTTTAATTGCTTCTCCCCCCAAGTCAGCTGTATGTTCCAACTGTGTCTTTTGGCCTTCTGAAAAGTTAGGCAATCCTTTTGGTCTCTAGGCCAGTGAAGGAGGCAGTGGGGAGAAGGAGAAGGAGGAGGAGAACTCTGGAAAATGTGCCAGCACGCAAACAGCTGAATGGACTCTACAACGCTAAGTACTGACACGTGCAAGCTGTGGCAGAGTTTTTCTCCCCATCCCAAGATACTCTAGAAGAGGAAACAAGGACCATATGCTGCCTTAGCCCCAAGTATCAGCATTACACCCCACGAGGGTACATCTTCTTGTTTGTGCATGAGCATCAGGTATCCTGGAACAGGGCGTTTTCAGGTGACACGAGAGTAAAATTTGTCCTGAGACAGCTCATCTCCAGCTCATGGAATGTACAGAAGAACAGTGAGTTTGTTTTCTGCACCACTTTCCTGATGTCCTGAAAAGCCCCAAAGCAGCTGAGAGCAGGCTGTCCTGATGTCCTGGCAGGCTGTCCAGCTGCTGCTGTTGTGTAATTGCAATTGCAGAACACAGACAGCTGTCTGTACCACTTGGAAATCAGAGCCTTCAAGGCAGCCTAAGTCAGCAACTTTTTCAACTCTACCACTAAAGACATTCAAGTCCAAAGCTCAGATACTTCATGTATGTACAAGCTTCATCACCATAACTGGTGTCAGAACAGCTTTTGCAGCTGTAGTTTACACACCACACTCTGCACTGCTCAGTGGTCAGCATGATAGACACAGTATTTATAGGAGGAAAATGTGCCCCCTTCTCCACTGTACCTTGTTTTCACTTTCACTACTTTCTTTCCTGTCCATCTGTCCAATGCTTCTCAAGTTTTCCTCAGCATTATACTTTCTCTACTTTGTTTTTGGTGGGCTCTCCCCAGATTGCCCAGGAGGAGTACCTGCTTCCACAGCAGATGCAGAGTGAAGGTGAGCAGGTCTCTGCCACTCAATTTTAATGGCTGGGCACAGGCCTTCAGATGCTACTGTTCTCCCTTCCCCAGGGTGTAATGTTCAGCCCTAGCCCATGTCTTCCCAGTGCTTGAGCCTGGAGCTCTACACAGCCCAGGGAGTGCAGCACCTACAGGATGCAGGAGGCTGCACTGCATCACCCAGCTGCTCCTGACCTGCTGCCAAAGCAGCCTCCAACAGCTCCTACTGCCTGGCCTCGCCTTCAGTTGACCAAAAATTTGTGGGGAAGGGAGGAACAAAGCACTGTCGTCCCCACCCTCTCCCCTATAATTACCCAGTGCTTCACAAGCAGTATTATCTGTCTGGATACACAG